CCTAAGAAATCGAGCAAAAAAAAAAATCAACATGATAACTATTAATATAGACAACATCAAACATCTCTCATACCTCCAACAATTTTTGCCGAACTTGCGCATGAATATCACCTATTGCCTCATCATTTATCAAGAATTCAAATAAAGGTTTCAAGTCTGTTGGTCTTAAATTTTGTGCTAGTGTACCAAGTGAAAGTGCTAATCCTACACGAGCTTCCCATTGGTCTTGTTTATTTAGAGATTCAGGTATTAAAATACCAAATTCATCATACTCAGGTTGAACTGGTTTTGCCTAAGTGCATGATTCGAAATAAAAATTGGAATCTATGGTACTACTGCGTTAAGGAATGCTTATAAAATGATTAATCTTAATAAAATTTGCATTCACCTTTTCCTTATATTGTTCATAAATTAGTGACAACGTGTCTGCAACCGAGTCAGGGAAGTATTTTGATGCATTACCGATAGATTTAGCAGCACACTCTCTGACATATTTTTCTTCATGAATCAAATAAGGCAACAATTCGACATTGTAACTCGGCTCAACGTCCATTCCATTGGATTCCCATAAGGCTATTGCCAACTTTGCGTTATGCTCATCCTCATCATGACAACCTATCCATAGTTCACACGAAAAATCAATATCTGTAAGGTCCAAATTATCTAATGCTTGTAAACAAGCATGACGAACAAATGGTTCTGGAGAAAGCAATCCGGTGAGCAGAACATTTATTTCCTTTTGTTCTGCTGTTTCACCAATAGACTCGCATAAGTTAATCATGGCAGTCCTTGCAACTTTTGTAAACTTAGGATATTCTTTAATTATATGTAAAAGTGTATTAATCATTTCAGACCGTGGAAGTAACAGTGAAGATCCAATAACTGTATGGAAAGAAGTTATATCCAATCCTAATGCAATTTGTTCCATTGACGTTTCTAAATCATTTGCTTTTTCGTTATGTAAATCAATTCCACCTTTCATAATAACTTGATGAATTAATGAGAAACAATAAGCAAATGACGAAGGTGTTATCAGTGAGCGCTCTGTTATGATACGAAGACGGAGGTATGAGAGATGTTTGATGTTGTCTATATTAATAGTTATCATGTTGATTTTTTTTTTTGCTCGATTTCTTAGG